TTTGTATGCATCAACAAACAGAAATTCTCTTTGGCATGAAATTGTCAGCAGTTTCATAGATAACGGCCATTTACCAAAAAGGGACTAGGTGATCATGCATGGATAGTTTAGCACAGTCCATCGGCGTTACTGCAAAGATAATCATTAGTATACACAAGCAGTGCTGTCTGTTTTATATGCCCATGAACCAGAAACTTGCTCATTTTCATTTTGAGGTATCTTTCTGTAGATAATAAGCTCTATCCAGGTTTAGAAAATTATTTAACATTATTAGTTCTGAACCTAGCAAACAGGATAAATAGTTATAAGCCTTTTTCTGCTCAGTTAGAGTTCTCTAAGCCCGAATGGCTCGTAAGTACTTTACTGAAATTTATTCCTTTTTAAATTTATGCTTAACTCTATGTTAAGATACCTTGACATGTGAATTACTGTAAACCACTTGAAAGTATATTGACTTTGAATTTTATTAAATGATTCTTATTACTTAATCAGATCCCATCAATATATTTGTTCAGATCAACACATGGGCTTATTTTTGTATATGAGCCAAAAACAATACCATATTGAGAGGAAGCAAGTACAGTACGTTCCACATTTTGTTGAAGAGTAACTAAATCTTACTTAGCAATGACTGCTTTGTTTGATTATAGAAGCAGAGCTCTTAAATACCCTATTCTACTTGGCAGGATGTAAAATTGCTATGCAATATATTTTATTGCAAGGTAGTTTAAAACTGAGAAAATCCTCAGAAATGAGTAAATAGGTATGGAGAAAGGGCAGTGTACATTTATGGATATAAAATGATGTGTCTGTTTAAAACTGCTTTAATTTTAAAATAGCTTAGAAGCTTTTCTGTGTCATATTCTTCCTGTGCCGAGTACATTTCACCACTACCAGTACCATTTTCTGCCAAAAAGGATTTTTTTCCCCATGAAATGGTCTTTCTCTACATTAAATACCACATTGCACTTTAACATTGTAATACTCTTTAATTAGATCCTAGTAAAAGCTGGGGTGGGGAGGGGAGAGATTTCTATCTGTCTAAAAAATAACACCACTGAATTCCTTTCAGAAGTTAAATAGGGTACTAAATTTAAATATTTATGTGCCTTATGAAACAAAGGGAATAATAGTATCCTATAATTGGAACTTGTAACAATTATTTCAACAGTAGTAAAAAGAATACTTAAAAAGTATTATTTTATTAAAAATAAAAGACATGCTTGAGGAGGCAGAGCCACAATGTCCAAGTGGTAACAAGCAGTACAGTGAGTTGTACTTCACAAACTTCTCCAAACAGATTGAGAAAATGCACCAAACTGAATGCTTATAGCGAAATCTAGAAAAAGTCACAATGAGTCTTTTTGTCCAGTTGAGCTCAGCGTAGGGAGACAGACAGATATCTGCATACACTGGGGATTGAGTCTGCCAGAAGCACACTGAAAGCACAGCACCCAGAGAGAAGCTGTGCACCAGGACAGAAGGAGGTTGCAGACTTGTGCCAGTACCCCACTGGACCCATACTGGTGCCCTGTGATGAAGACGGATGACAGTTGGCAGCTTTGTTGCCCACTACCCAGTTCTGGGTCACAGATTCAGGGAGGACTGAGAAAGGGGGTGATGGTGGTGATGTTTGTCCTTTATTTTCAAAGAGGACCAGGGACATTATGGAGTGATATTTTGACTTGCACATGAATTGGATTTAAGTGAGACAGATTTGCACAAAATTGTCAACTTCACTCTCTCTTCCTGAGTCATCAAAGTCAGTGTCAGGACAAAAGTCAAGACAACTATGGATGGTCCAGGATGCAGTGGATGACCTTGGCATCTTTGATGCCTGACCAAGCTGTAAGCACTCTACAATGCCTGCTTCAGCCACCTTCATGGCTGCTGGAACAAATTTTTCTTATCCGCTCATTCCGTCAGGGGAAAATCCTCACGTGCTCGGGGTAGACATCCACTAACACACCAACAGGTTTGCGGTTTGTCAGTTATCCTCAGCCTGCTTTAGCCTGTCTGCCAAGTTGGTTTCCTGGGGTATGGCCAGTGAACATGCTACAGCTTCTTAGAGCCATAGGTGAGAATTGGGTAAATCAGGAGGCAGCTAGGTGGCACAGTGGATAGAGCACCGGCCCTGGAGTCAGGAGGACCTGAGTTCAAATGTGGCCTCAGACCAAACATTTGACACTTACTAACTATGTGACCCTGGACAAGTCACTGAACCCCAATTGCCTTAAAAAAAATTGGGTGAATCAGGTGGACATCAAAGGGGTGGATGAGTATCCCTGAAAAGAGCTAGGCAAACCCTCACACTAGAGGTACTAGTCCTCCTGAACATACCTGTGCATGGAAGTGGCATCCCAGGCAAGGAGGCCGTAGGCAATGCGCTGAGCAAGGACAAAGCCTAGAACCCAGAAAAAGCAGTATTCCTCAGACTCCAGGCACAGATGAAAGCTTCAGTTGAATCATCTAGCCCAGCCTGTAGAGGAATAACCAAAACAGAATTCTCAGGCCAAAGGGGAGCCCCACTCTGAACCAACAGAGCTTTTAAGCTGGCTGACAGGAACTGAATCCAACAACAGTCTACTCTTGTTCAACCCCAGTCTCAGCTCAGGAACTTGTGGAATTTTGACTAGGATGCCAGCAATCAGACTTTTTCCTGGATCAGACCACTTTGGGAGTACCAGAAGCTTCCCTGTCCCTAGACGGTCCTTGAGATGCTGTAATAATACAACACTCAATACCTCAAGAAAGCAGCAAAAGGACAGCCCAAGAATCCCACCCCAATGAACCATTAGGGTGGCAAAAACATTCAAGACACAGACATCAAAGAAGAAAGTGGTTCTAAAACATCTACAAGCAAAGCCTCAGAGAAAAAACACAATATGGGTACATACTCAACTAGAATTCCTAGGAGAGATGAAGCAAGAGTTTAAAAAAAAAAAGAATTTTAAAAAAATTTTAATAATGGAATGAAACAAATGGAACAAAAAACTGAAAAAGAAATAAAAGCTAGGGAAGAAAAAATTAGAAGGGGAATTAATAGCTTGGCACAAGAGATGCAAAATCTAGTCTGAACAATAAACTTCTCTGAAAATTGAAATGAACCAAATAGAAGCCAGTGACTCCATGAGGCAACCAGAACTATTAAAACAGAATTTACAGGCTGGAAAAAAATTGAAGAAAATATAAGGTATCTCATAGCAAAAACATATGATCTAGAAAACAGATTGAGGAGAAGAAAAATTAATCATGAGACTGTCTGACTACGATGACCTAAAAAAGAGCCTTGACATCATACTTTAAGAAAACTGAAAAGAAAATCGCCCACATCTCTTAGAATGAGAGGGCAAAGTTGAAATAGGATCCACCAATTACCTCCTGATAAAAAATTGAAAAATAAAAACTCCTAGGAACAGCATAGCCAAAATCCAGTGTTTCGAGTTCAAAGAAAAATATTACAAGCAAACAGAAAGAATTCAAGCACAAGTGAGCCATAGTCAGGACCAGACAGAACTTAGCAGCCACTACTTGAAGGCGCAGAGAGCTTATATGATATTCTAGAAGACAGAGGATTACTGAGTATGATGCTATGGAAGGGGATGGATTTTTAATGAAATAGAGGACTTCCAAGCATTTCTGGTAAAAATACCAGAGCTGCTTGGAAACTTTGAAGTTCAAACACACACATGAAGGGAAATATTAAAAGGTAAACGTGAATAAACAATGATAACAGATAAACTGCTTACATTCAGATATGGAGAGATGATACATGTATCTCCTTTGAACCTTTTTATCATTAGGGTTCACAGATGCAGTCCAATTAGACAAGGCCTTGGAATGGTCATATTATGTCTTGATGATCTTAAGGGGAAGAAATAGAGAAGAAGAAGAATACACTGGTATTTAAGAGAAGAAGGAAATGAAGGTTAGGGGAAATTATCTCACATAATGAAGGTGTACAAGTAGATATCTGTACAGATAAGGAGGAGAAGGGGAGGAGGGAAATGGTTGACACTTGAATCTCAGTCTCATCTCAGGTGGTCAAAAGTAGGAAGAACACACACACACACACACACATACACACACACGGTTGTGGGCAAAAATATATTTCACACAATAGGGAAATTGGAAGGAAAAGACAGGAGGGAGAAATAGAAGGAGGATAGATTAAAAAGGGATTAGTCCTAAGCAGAACAAACTCTAAGAGTATACATAAATATTTATAACTCATTTTTGAGTGTTGCAAAGGATGGGAATATGAGGGGATGCCTATAAATTGGGGAATGGATGAACAAATTATGGTATATAACTGTGGTGGTACTATTGTGCTGAGCTCTTGCCAGCAAAATGACCACTGTACTAGAGGACTAATGATGAAACATACTACTCACCTCATGATAGAAAGTTGGAAGACTGACTGCAGAAAGAGACAATTTTTTTTTAATGTAGCCAATGTTTTGTTTTGTTTTTTTAAATTTTAAACTAACTATACATGTTTGTAATAGGTTTTGTTTTTCTTGTGTTCTCAGTTGGGGTTGAGGGAAGTGCAGTGAGATGAGAGGGTGAAAAAATAGATCTTAGATGATGAAAACAAAATATTTTAAAAAAAAGATGTTTAATGCTGAATGTGTCCATATAATTTTAAATGTCAGTTTAAACTGTGTCCTTTTAAAAAAACATTTATAGGAAAGGCTTCATGGGAAGATTACTTCATTTTAGAGTTTCATGGTAGAGTTCTAAAGCTGAAGTTATTAAACTTGTTTGTTTGTTTGTAATGTTAATCATTAGCCATGAAAAGTCCAAGCTAAGGGAAATAGAAGTCCAAATGAGAATATGGCAAGGAACCTAAAATAAATTTAATGTGTTTCACTTTGTTTTCCCCTCTTATTTGATTTTTATGAGAATTTGTGCAGCTGCAGTGATTTTTGAAGACTACATTTGCAAAGATGATGTTGATACTTTCTGCAGTAATTTCTAATTTTCTGTTATTTTTGCAGATAATGGATTTATACCTGATACACTTCTAGAAGATGTGATGAAAGCTTTGGACCTTGTATCAGATCCTGAATAGTAAGATAATAGAAAATTAAAGCTTTTATTTGACCATAAATAAAATTTCCATTAAAATCAAAATTTACCATATCATCATTAATTATTTTATTTATGTATGTGTTTATGTACATATACACGAATGTCATAGTGAATTGTATTCTAATTAAAGGAATGATCAGTTTGAGTAGATGGATGGATAAAAAGGAAGAAAGATTTTGAGACTGTACTTAACCAAAAATTAACTTTCCTGTATGGTACTCTGTCTCTTTTATTGGGCATTTAAAAGAATGTTGTTAAAAAGTTGGGTTATGGTTTATTTGGATTTTTTTTTATTTTCAAGTATTTTTCTGTTAGCTACCAAAACTTAATTTTTGAATCTCTTATTATTTTTCTATTTTTCCATTTTGAACCTGTTTTGGGCAGCTTTGAAGAAATTTATAACAGTTTTCTATATCATAGATACTGATAAAAGATAGTGTTTTCTGTCATTAACCAGCAGCCCTTTGACCTTCATCCTTATGTGTTAAAGACAGTCAAAGAGATTGAACACTTCCAGATGACTTAGTGATCTAGACTAAATACTTTGAGTGTCGGTATGTAAAGAATCCAGTCTTTCATTCAGGTTTCATTTTTTTCTAGTCCTCATAACCTTTATGCAGAGGCACTTTTCACATATATAATAGCCTCCTCTTAAAAAAGAAATTTTTTTTTTTGCATTTTGTCTCTCCTTGGGGATAATTTGCATTTTTATTATACTAAGTGGAATATAAGTTGATCAAATATGAAACTAAATCTGGAAGTTTGACCAGTTTCTTCTGAACAGTAATATGAATTTCAAGTTCTAATGCTTTTAGGTTCTGCACATTTTTCATCTGACAATAAAAAAACAAACATGTAAAGTAATGTAACAAGGGATTTCACAGCATAAGCAACATAAACAATATCGGTATTCATAATACCGTTCATGTTTTTTAGATGAATTTCACATGTGGTCTCTTTGAAAGTATGCAGCTACATATAAACACTCCTAAACTAATCAAGTTTAAATTAATATCTCAGAATCTTATCACCTTGAACTATGATTTAGACATATTCAATAGTTAAGCATAGGTGGACAGGTTTATAACATAAAGGAGATGTCTGAAGGAATCTTAACTATTGTAGCAAATGGTATGGTGGTGGTTTACCAGGCTTCCTTTCAAAAAAGATAGAACCAGTTTCCAAGTATAGAACTGCCTAATTGAAGCCTATCAGTTTGGAGGAGAAAATTGGATCTCTTCTCCTTTTGCAGTCGTTGCTTTCTTTCTTGCCTTCCCCATTCACCCCCACTCCCATGTATAAGTTATTTTTAAAATTAACCCACATTTTCCACGTGTTATTATAATATTTGGTGGTATCCTTGCTGTATGAAGAAGACAATAGTGACCTATTTAAACTGTTTTCTAGTTATAGTTAAGGGCGTAAATTAAAAGCTCCTCATACCCACTCTTGTGACTAGTGTTATGTGTTTGTAAAATGACTGAGGTCCAGTCTGTGGTGGTAGAATGATTTGTTCCCCTCTGTAAAGTTATTTTTAAATAGGCCTGAATCCATGAGTCTGACCTTATAGGCCTCCTGTTCATTCCTACTGACCTGATCATCTCAGACTCATTAGATGGAATATGATAATCCAAAGTCTTTACTTTTTAAGTTAGATAATAGGTAGCCTGATAGCCTTATTCTGCATGTAAGTTTTTTGTGTATGTGTCCGTACACACACATACACACTTGAAGGACACAGCAGAGGATTAAAAACCAAACTAGAATAACATGTTTATATTTTGGTATTTCAAAGGACCCTAAATTACTGGCTTTCAAAACGGAAACTTCAGGTTTGAAAAATCTCATCCTCTACCTCTCACCCGTTTTTTTCTGTCTTCACTCCTCTTTAGCAATGGTGAACAGTGTTCTCCCTCCCCAGTAGATAAGACTTAAAATAAAATTGTAATAGGGCAAAATGCAATGTGGTTTATCTTTGAGGTTTCAACTTCTAGCCTAATATCAGACCTTAAATCATATCATGTTTCTGTTTCTGAGCTGAGTAATTCCCTTTTCCCACGCCACAATGTTATAGGTTAAGATTTCTACTGCATTTGCTTATGAGAATTATATTTTCGGTAGCATGTGGTGAAGTTCACTTCTTTTTACGAAGAACTCCCTTTTATATACCACACTAAGGTTAGGTATCTTCACAACAGGCTTGTGAAGTAGTTAGTATAAATACTGTGTCCCCATTTTTATAAGTGAACAGTAGTCTAAGAAAAGCCTGTCATCACACATCTAGTGAGTGTTGGAGCTGAGATTTGATCTCAGCTGAGCCTGATTCTTAGTCCAACATTCTTTCTACTATACAACGCTGTCATTCTTATATCTAAATAGTATAGCAGGATCAAGGTGGAAGGAACTTTATTGATCAACTACAAGCCTTTATTTCACAGATAAAGCATTATGGCCTAGAGAAACTGACTTGCTCAAGAGTACGCAGTTAGATACCAGCACAGCCAAGAACAGGATCTCAGACTTCTGGTCCAATGTACTTTCCACTCTGCCAGGAAAGGGGGGGGAGGGGGAGATGAATGATTTGTACTCTTACAGTGAATTATACCTCTATAAAAATATTTCTTTAAAAACAGACAAAAGAAAGAAATTCCTCCTGACAGGGGGCAGTGCCATGGGTCTAGGCTTATAAACCCCCAATTTCAAAATGACTTTACCTAATAAGGAATGAACCTTCAAAATTATCTTCACAATTTTAATTGTAAATGGTAACAGATTACTCTGATTTAAAAATAACCACATTTTGGCAAATCAAGTGCCATTGCTATGTATTTGTCATTAAGGTTCTAAAAAGAACAGCTCTCAGAATTTTTGGCAGTGAGATGTGTTGTAATGCCACATATTTTAATCATGTAAGAATAAAAATGTACCAGTGCACTTACTGTTTTTGTATTTTCTGATATTGTTATAGTGTCAACCTCATGAAGAACAAGTTAGACCCAGAAGGACTAGGAATTATCTTACTGGGTCCCTTTCTCCAGGAGTTCTTTCCTGATCAGGTAACATAAGGAATTGTGCTAATTGATTCCTAATATGGTTGAGGTCCTCAGAGATCATGCTGGTAATTTTCCTATACTTTTAAAATTATCGTACTACTTACAGATTTAGTTAGGTCAAGAAAGCTTTGTTCTGTTAAAGATTCTCATGGTAAGAATGTATGTGTTTGTGTATGTACATACTTATATTTAATGGGAAGATTGTCCTAAGTTCTGAATATCTGTGTATGTTCACTTAGTTTGAAGAAGGAAATTACTATTTTATACTGTTCTTGCTTATTTTGTGATAAAAAAAAACATAGTTCATAATTGTACACTAAAAATGCATTGTAGCGTGTTAAATCACTGCACAAGTGAGTTGTCCTCAATCTGAGGCTTGGGTTTATCACCAGGATTGTGTGGCAGCGAGGTTCCTTGTGCCAGGTCCCATGACCTGGAATTTTTAAAAACTAGAACACTTTTTTGCCAAAAAGAAAGCCAAGAGAGCAGGTGGTAGGAATTTCTTCCAAGGACTCTCAGTCTTACAGATAACCTCTTTCTTCTTGGAGAAGGAAAAAAAAACACCTAGCAAAAGATCATCAACTTGGGGATATGTTGGCTGTTACCACTGTGCTGCATACCAGTTTCTACCTTCCCCTCTCAGTCTCCTGTGAGGCACTGAATTCTGGGATTGAATACTGGGCAAGTTAACTCTGCTTCTCTATAGATTGTTCCTTGTCTCATCTCTAATGTAAGATTTTGTCACTTAACTGAGTTACACAGTTACCTGAATATACCTTGGTCCTTTACTCCTCAAATAACACAATTGTAAGTTGAAGTTAAGTGCTTTTTACAAAATTACCCATATCATTTTCACCACTGTTACAAAAAGGAGATAGCTGCCAAATGGAAAATAACTCAGAATAGAAGGGGGAAAAAATGTTAAAGACTTAATTGCAATTTAGAAGAGTTTAAAAGAATTTAAATTGTTAATCCTCTGTGTCAGATTTGAACAGCTGCTCTGAATCATAATACTTATATTCCTAAAATGGTAAACAGAATTATGAACATAAAATTTTGATCATTTTTTTAAATTACTAGAGCACACACGTTCTAAACCTGCAACTGCCATGGAAATTTGGGAAGAAAAAGAATGAAGGGGTTTTTTTTGTTTTTGTGTTTTTAATAGGTTTTCAGATCCTAAGCTATTGATTGAAAAAATCTTTTGCAGTTACTTAATGAAGGGAAGATTGCAAAAGTATTTAACATTATAGACTTCATCCTCTTTGTTTTCTGTAGTTGAAATAATAATCTGATTTTTAATTAATGCATTTCTGACATGCTTTCAATAAGTGTCACAAGTATGTTTCTCAATGACATAATATCTTAAATAAACAAAAAATATATTCCTATCCTTACAATATTTAATTTTGTGTGTTATCCTAATGGAAAGATCCATAAAAGAACTTTAATTTTAAAAAAAGTTTGAGGTAATTCCCAACCTTTATAGAAGTAGGATATCTTCCTATTTAATATCATTAAACTGTACTCTGCTCCCAAAAAAGTGTTAGGGGTGGTATGGGTGTGGGCATATGTAGAATTGTACTTAGAGGTGGGGGTAAGTGTGTGTTTAGGTGCATTTTTTGAATTTAAGTTTATTAACACTGTCACATAATATATATTAGATCATTTCATTTGTGTGGCATAGTCCCTATAAATTTTTCTATTAAAATGTTGTCATTAACACACAGGCTATATATATATTTTTTAAAAATTTCTAAACCTATTTGAGCACCACCTGTGCAAGGCACAACAGGGAATACCAAGCAGTTAGGATAGTGTTTGCCCCCAACAGGAGGTCATAATTGCTCTCTGAGGCAGACACATGACAAGACAAGAGGTGAATAGTTGCCCAGTGAATGCTTCAGACAGTTGCCATGGTAGTTGAAAGGAGGAAAAAATCCCTTCCCAATAATCAGTGGACATTTCTTTGAGGACATGAGATGTGACCTGGGTCCTCAAAAGAAAGACAGTGTTTGTAGCCTTAAGGGGAAAAGGATGAACATTCCAGTTGATAGTCTGGTTTTAGCAATTATGAAAATTGTGCCTCAAGGTGAAAGCATTTTTGAGGGAGAGTAAATAAAACAACTGGGCTGGAGCAGAGTGTTCATGAAAATTAGTCATTGAAATAAAGACTAGAGAAGGGAGGTGGGGGTCAGAGTGCAGAAAGCATCACATGCCAGGTAAAGGAGTTTGGTCTTTGCCCTTTAGGCAGCTGGGATTAATCACAGGTTTTTGCAGGGACATTAGGGTTGGCTTGGAAGTCACATTCCAGATGGCCATTTCATATAGAATAACATTTGAAGTAAATTTGTCATTCTCTGTGACACTGTTTCTTTTTCATTATAACTGCTACTCAAGAGCTGACAGCCTTCAAGGGACATTGTGTGGAGAAAGTCCAAAGTCTATGCCAAGGGACAAGCACACAGCTGCAGACAAGCCAGGATTTCTGAGAACGGGTTATTTAGAAGTGAATAAAATGCTTGGGTGCATTTTTCTAAATACATCTCTTGTAAGCCTTTTCAAGGCTTGACATTTGAAGCTTCAGTTACAAATTAGAAACAATTTCATTTGTGATTTAAATATATAATGATACTTTACTTGTCGTAGGATTCCAGTGTGCCAGAGTCATTTACCGTATACCACTACAATGGATTAAAGCAGTCTAATTATAATGAAAAGGTATGATTATTTAAATAAATTGTTTATTTTTAATTGGGTCTGTGGTAGAAATATTTGAGGACATAACTATTATAAGAGCTCTACATTAGGACTTGATCTCAAAATTCTCTTTATTTTCCCTTTATTGCTATCTACATCATCCTTTGTAGGTGCCATGTTCTAGTATGAGCAGTGCATATAAATAGGTATCACATTTTGGAGCATTATGTTTCACTATCACAAAATAGGTTTTATTTCGGTGTGTGTTAATATCTTCAATGTACATACGCTATTGAGTCAGCATTATGGTTAGTCACATGAGGTGGAAGTTTTGATTAATATAGATGAAAAAAATGGTTTGAAAGGAGAAAACAGAGGCATTTTAAAAACTACAAGTAGCACATTATTGCCAATGGCATTTTTTTTTTAATTCAGGAAGGGGAACTTGTACCATACAAAAACTGACGTGATTGCATTGAGTTGGAAAGTCATGTTTTCATTGATTCTTTTTGGTAAAATGGGGGGGGGGGAACAACTATACTTGAAACTAAAAACAAATTGTACTTTAGTTTCGTAATGAATCTGTGATCCTGTATCATCCACATGAGCTCTCCCACCTCCAAGACAAATCATAAGCCCTTCGTGCCCTCTCATCTGATATAATTCTTGCCCATGTCTTTCCATAAATCCTCCAGAAAACATCTACCCAGTGACTTCCTTTGGTTCTTTTAACATTTCTTGGGTATCACTAAAGCCTTCAGGCTGTACATCTTTATCCCTCTTACTACATGACCAGCCCACCTCTTTGTCACTCACAGACATCCTTCAGGCCACAACTTCCTTATTGGGTCTTTTCATCACCCTTCATAAACATGTGAAGGGAATAGTAAGCAAGAGATTGTATTCACTTACACTCAGTGACTTAGGTGACTTGAGTTTCTTTCATTTTGTGAGAATAGTTTATTTCTATATCATATAGATCTACAGTACAAAAGCTTAGATGCTATTTATAATCTGTTCCTAAGTGCTCCATTCAGAGTTTTAAAGTTGGCCTAGTACTTTGTCACATAAAGTGCTGTATAGTTACTAATTAGTTGCCCCTTCAAGGGAAGTTGGTCATAGCATCCATGTTCTACGGAAGAGGCAACTGAGAGACAGGGACATTAAGTGGCTCTCCCCTCCGGCTCCCCCCTCAGTGTTCATGTAGCAAGTCTTTGGTAGAGCAAGGAGTAACACTGAGTCCTGGACCCCAGCCTGTTCTTGGTCTGCTCACCGACACAGCCTCTCTCCAGTAAGTCATGTTAGCTATGCCTATGACAAATGTCTGGAGAAATCACAACAGGCAACAAGTATTGACTTGGCATATTTTAGAATGGAAAGCTCATAGAAATTGTTCCCAAAATATCTATGCTGTTAACTCATGGAGGTATAATCTCTGAACAGGCTAAAGGAAAGAACTAACAAAATGAGAGAGATTGAACAGTTTTAGAGTAAGAACTTAGAGTATTTAGTAGTAAGTGAACAAAGGAGTTTTGAACTGAATTAAAAAGAACTTTAAATTGTGTGAAAAAGTTCTATGGTATTATTTCTTGAATATAAAAAACTTGGACAACATTCTTTTTGTATGGTTCTTCATAAGAGTGTTTAATTTGGGAACATAAAAGCAAAGAACTGAAATTTTTAAGAAAAGAAACAGAAGAACACAAGTGCTTTAGCCAAAATAAAAATTCACATAAATCTCACCTTATAGCAGACCTGCACAACTTGGCAGTAGATAGGGGCAAAAATTAAAATTGGCTAAACTTCCTCTGGCTACAGATAGGTTTTTAGCAGCTCACTCTCCAAGTGAAGGTATAATTAATGATTAAACTATTTTGCAAATAAACTATATTTTTAAAAAGGGAAATTTCAATTAATATCAATTAATTACACTTATTACTTAAGATTTTTATTCATCATGAAATCACATTAATGTTAAAAAGAATTACTAAGTGGTAATAAGTTTGAGTACACTGAAAACACAACAAAAATATATGACTCTCACTCCTCTCAGACTAGAGACAGACTGATGATGGTTGGTTGGTGTGAGTCACATGACAAACAGGAGAGCATGCTGTGGCAGCCCCCCCCCCCAAGTTACCTGATGGGCACAATAGTGACCAGTGGAAGGCTGGTTAAGCAGGGCAGGGACAAAGTACCCATTACATCTTTACTTTAACATCCTCTACATTTTTCGAAGGCTGCCTGAAATCTTTTGGCAGGCCGCAAGTGGCCAATGGGCCATATGTCATGCAGGCCTGCCTTAAAGCATGTCTTCCAAACTTTCTAGGATAGAATAAACTTGTGCCTCATTCCCCTAACCAAGTGATACAGAACAATGCTCTAGTTTATTTAAAGTATTTCTTTTGGAAAGACCCTTTTGAGCTAACAGTTTGGTTCTCTAAGCTTTTCTAGTTATGTGCCATGATAAGTATTTTATGTATTATTATATTGTATTATATATTATGTTATATATGAATATTTTGTATTGCAGTAATAGGGCTTGATCATACAGAGGGTACCAAAAGTAAGACTTTGAGTGTACTTTATATTAGCCTATACCATTTTTTTACTTGATAATATACTTTTGGAAGAACTTCATTATTACATGATTGTCTCTTATTCATTAATGTTAATCATCATATTATATCTTGCACAGAAAGAGGCATAAATTAATAGTTAATCTATTCTTGCAGCATAAACTTTAGTTTCTTGATATTGTTTAGAAATATGTACTTGAATTAATAGTCCTTGGTGATTAGCAGATATTTTTAATAGAGAAAATAATATAGAGCATTATAATTATAGAGCATTATAAGAACCTGTTTAATGAAGAAATAAAATAATTGAGTTAAAATATTTTCTTTTGATTTTCATTTAGTCTTATACAGATTAAGAGGTTCAAGCTACTTACCAAGCCATTTAACTATCTCTCTTTCTTTTCTTTGATATACGTACATGTGTATGCATATTACATATCTATATGTGTATATACATATATATATATATATAGAATTGTTTCCCTATGTAAATATTTTCTGACTGCCATTCCCTTCCATACAATTCTATTTATTCTTATGTATCTTTCTCCCTGACATCCTTTTTTCAGTTGCTTCCAGTTTCTTTTTTTTTTTTTAACATTCACCTATTTACTCTTTCTTCTTTCCATATAGTATTCAAATGAGATATATTTTTGGCTAAAATTTGTAGAAGCATGGCATAGTAGAAAGCCTTCTGTGGACTTCATGTCCTGCCACTGACACATACTAGCCCAGGAGTGAGTGGGGAACCTGTGGCCTCGAGGGCACATGTGGCCCTCTAAGTCCTCAAGTGCAGCCCTTTGACTGAATCCAAACTTCAAGGCCACATATGGCCCTCTAGGTCCTCAAGTGCAGCCTCAAGGCCGCAGGTTCCCTACTCCTGTGGGAACTAGCTTGTGACTTAATTTCTTAATGTCCCAGGCAGTTTTCTAAGACTACAAGTTACGCATGGTTGTTGATCAATATCAGCAGAAGCTTGCACACCTGTAATTCTCCACATTGATGAAGTCATAGGTCAATACTTAAAGCAAAACAAAATTGAAATTATGGAAGCATCTTCCAAAGCAACACATGATTTCTGTGCCAAAAAGATCCAAGAGCCCCCGAACTTTACATTGAACTTCATGACATTGAAGGTTGGGGAGGGGAGTGTTGCAAAAAGAGCCTTTCAGAATATATCAGTTGTTACTGAGTAAATATCTAGGTTTTGGAGCTATAGGTTCCATATACATGCAGCTTAAACAAATGGAAAAATTCTTCATTTGAGGCATTCTTGTGGTGTTTTGCATGCTTTCTATGAGGTCATATGTATATTTTAACTATTAAATTTGAACAAACCCAAAATAGTCAGCCAGCCATACAATGTTGTATGTACATACATTCCTCTTTAGTTCCAGATTTTCCCTGTAAACAGATTACAAATGCATCCCCAGTCTGTAGCCTAAGAACAGATGGTTTTACTCATAATTTCTACTAAGACAAAATCCAATGTCAGGTTTAATACCTGAGTGGAAGAGTTTACTTGCTACTCCTGAAGATTGCGTAGATCCCTCATGGAGTTATTCTGAACATGTAGGCTAAACTTGTAGGTGTCATCTTTGTTTAACAGGTCATGTATGTTGAAGGCACAGCAGTCGTTATGGGCTTTGAAGATCCTATGCTTCAGACAGATGACACACCAGTTAAACGCTGTCTCCAAACCAAATGGCCATATATAGAATTGCTCTGGACCACAGACCGTTCTCCCTCGCTAAACTGATTTACCCAAGTATTTATAAGGAAGATCGTACATGCAAATACTTAGAGAAGGGTTGAAAAAAATGGCAGTTAGATGTAAAATATTATACTTTGGCTAAATGAAGATATACACTGGTATCATTGATAAATTGTAAATAATTTTAAAACACTTTTTCAGTGTTTGGGATATATTTAATTTATATTTCTTTTTAAATGTCTTCTGTTAAAGTTTATCATTTGGGGCCATTGTGATATTGACAATAAAAATTAATTCTAAGCTTTAAATAGAGTATGTTTATTTGCAGGCTAGGATAATTTGCCATCTCTTACAGGCAGATTATAAATGTCCAGTACTGTAGCATCTGCATACTGGACATCAGAATTGAAAACTATATTATTACATTAAAGTACATTAAAAAGTTGAAAAACTTCACCTCTGCTTGCATTTTTAATTCATCCGAGCATGTTTTATTACTTAAATAATACTGGCTTACATCATATCATAGCTCAGCCTCAGCACTAAATTGCATACAAATTTGGGTTTTTGTTGTTTTCTTTTCTTAAATCCTTTTTCGACTAAGTAGCTTGTACAAATGTTGGTCAGATGGTACACCTCAGAAATATTCCTATGTAACATAAATCATCAGCTCTATCTTTTGACAGTTGTCTGTTGCTTTGGCTTAATTGCCTGGCATGTTGAAAGGCAGAAACTAAGGGGATGATGTATTAATTTATTCAGAGATGTATGAGAGGAATGTAAAAATAGGTTTACAAAGATTCTTTTCTATAATTGTAACTGTTCACTTTTATTGTATTGCCAAATACTCTTCTGAATTTGTCCCAACAACAATGTAAGCCAGCTTTCTTGTATATTTGTAACTGTGTTAACTGCATGAGAACATCTGTTATTACATTAGTATATTACATTATTTATTATGATCCTAGTTGATAGCTCTAAATAAACAAACTTTTTTCCTGAACTATAATCTAGAATTTCTTTTACATTAATTATCCAAAATGAATATCTCTTCCTACATTCAGATATGTTGATAATATCTGTCTAATTCAGTAGTAAATCTCATAACTCAACAAAAATGCTAAATGAACCAATTTAGGAGTTTCTAGACTACCCAGGTTCTGATCTTCCTCTAAGAAAATGCCCTTACTCTGCATAAAAGGACCCATAGCCATCAATATTTTAATTCAAGGCTAAGTAGCAATGACACAGCCGTGTTTGACCTCCCTGGTCAAGGGCCTAACAACCACAATAATAATAACAATAGCTAACATTTATATGGTGCTGTAAGGTTTGCAAAGCACTTTATAAAAGTTTCATCTGATTTTCACAACAACCTGGGAGGTAGATGCTATTGTTATCTCCATTTTACAGATGAGGAAGTTGAGGCAGACAAAAATTTTCTTGATCACACCTACTAAGTATGTAAGGCCAAATTTAAACTCTCTTCTGACTCCAGGCTCAGCATGCCACCTAGCTGGGTTCATAGGTTTACATAGCCTCATTCAAATTATCTTAATTTGCATATATGGCCTAAAGACAAAACTTATCATATGAATTGCTCAGGGCTTTGAAACGTAGTCAACCTATAAGCAGTAGTTTTTTTGTTGGGGTTTTTTTTTTCCCCATTACATTTGTTCAGTTAGGAATTATCAACATCCACTATTACCATTCCCTCTGTTATCATGTTATGCCAGGTCCCAATTACCTCTCACCTATATTGCCTCTAAACCAGTCCATTCTATATACACAATTTACCCCTCCTTATGTATAGGTCAGATCACTACAGTGCTTGAAAATCCCCAATGGCATTTCTCTATTGCCTTCAGTATAAAGTCCAAACACCTTAGCCTAGTAGTCAATTCACAGTACAATTTCAACTGACTTTCCAAGTCTACTACCATACTTCATTTAAAAAAAAAAAAAAGAAATCCTAATCCACTTGAACTAATGGTTTTCTAAAAACACTCCACACTTTCCCTTCTCCAAGATTTATGTTCACACCATTCCCTATACCTAGAATGTTCACTCTCCCCTCCCTTCTTCCCCACTTCTGCCTGTAGAAATCCTTTGCATCCTTGGAGACATATCTCTCAAAAGCCACTTCCTTCATTAACCCATCTCTAAGTTGCCCTAACAGAAATGACCTCCTTGCTCCATTTGGACACTTGTATCATCTTGTTCATACCTGTGTTTTGGGGGGGTTTTTAGTTTTCTAGATTCCAAAGGTGATAACAGTACTTGTATATAATGCCTGATTTCTTCTACTAGGTCAAAAGCCTCTTGAGGGCAGGGACTATACTTTATTTATCACTGCATTTCCCTCACTACTAAAAAAAAAAAAACAACTTAATTTTAGATGCATAAATGAATGAAACTTAAATTTGAAGTTTGGGTCCAGAGAAGGGTAAAGACTTTTGTTTGCCTTCAGAGCTATGAATAAGTCTGAAAAATAAAACCTGCATCTAGCAGATGCCTTGTCTGAGATTTTACTTGTTCGTTTCTAAGACACATTTTCATTGCAATGATTAAATAGCTGTTAACACAGAAAGAAGTGGTGCAAGTTTGTATAAACTTGGAAACATCTCCTATGCCTGAGTATAGAGCTAGCTACTAAAATTACAGCTGGAAAATGTCAAGTGTTCTAGTTTTGACTACGTTCTACCAAATATAATGGCAATATTTTGCTCTTAGAATAATTCTCTCAAGTAACCCAGTTCCAACTTGGACTTTAGTACCTGCCCGCATGGACACAGGGACTAAGAAAGGAATAACTGTGAAACTTTCAAGTATACTTATGGCAGATATACGTATTGAATATATATAAAAAGCAAGAAAGGAAAAGGAATTGAGATGAGCTGAGTTACCTTGCTCCCAATGGGAGACCTCCTTCACTCTGTATTGTCTGGTATATTTTCTCATATGTATCTTTTCTAATTTCTGTTTTGCTACCGAATTAGACAAACAGATTTCTTTGCTACTTCCTCTGTCCAATGTGGAACTGGTATTTGGTGGGAAGGGAGTCAAGCCTTGGCTGTAAAGTTTGGGGTTCTTCCCCCCAATAATGAAACAGTGGTCAGAAGTTAGCTTGAATCTGAAAACCCTAACAATATTTAAAGGAGAAGATATAATTCTTGCCTCATACTCCTGCTCTATGAGCAGAGTGGAGTGGCCAACCTTCTGTTGAACCTAACCTGCTTCCCCTCCTGGCAGGAATTAAAAGTCTCCCTTGGAGGAGGGAGTTATGGAAAAGAAATTAGAGATATCTATTCTGATTCCCTTCAAGCCACACAATTACACTCCCATGCTACATGAAGGGGATAGTCCCAAGCAATACATGGGCTCCAGCTTTAGGAGTATGGTATTAGTGAGAGCTCCCCCACTTAAAGTGTAACTGGCAAAATGAAAAGAAGCAATTTATTGCCTGCACAGAATTATGGTCTCAGAAAATAAAAAGGGATTCTTGAGGCTATGGGTCAAGTCTGACTCATACATAACAATCCTCTCTATACACGCCCAATCAGTGGTCATCTACCCTTTGCCTGAAGACTTCTACTGACAGTAAACCCATTATTTCCCAAGGAAGCCTTTTCTACATTTAGAGAGTTTTAATGGTTAGAAAGTTTTTCCTTATAATGAACCTAAATCTGCTGCCCTGCAACTTCTACCCATTTCTTCTACTTATGCCCTGGGGACCAAGCAAAATATTTTTCCCAGCAAAATATTTTTCCTTGTCCATGTGACAGTTCTTCAAATACTTTTAGACAGCTATCATGGCTTAAGGTCCTCCTTTGAAATACTGGTCTAAAAGTTCCTTGTGGATAAAGAATTTTGTAACTCCTATAGTAATTTGGATATGATAGGTGCAGAATTATATGCACTGAATTTGTAAAAAACTAGGGAAGTGATGGCTGTATTGTCCTCTGTCCTGATCAGACATGTGGAGAATTGTATTCTGTTCAGGAGGCCAAATTTTAGGAAGGACATGCTGGAAGATATCCAGATAAGGGCAGTGAGGACATTGAGGAAACTCAAGATCATGCCATACAAAGGAACTGGAAATATATAGCTTGAAGGAGAAGACTTTGGCAGGCCATTGGATTTCAGAGGAGGAACTGAGCTAGAGAAGAAAGAAGGAATTCTGAAGGTACTTTGGAAGGCTTTAGAATTGTAAATGAAGAAAGGCAGAAAATTGATTTTTGAGGATGGGAAGAAAAAACTGAGAGAACTTCAACTGAAGGAAGATAGATAAGGTTAGAAAAAGGGGGGTCTCACAAGCACGAACTAGAGGGGAAGGAGAAGAGGGGCAATTGCTAGGATAAAATGAAATGCCCAAAGAATTCAAAGAGGAGAAGGAAAGGGGAGGGGGTGGAGGAAACATTTTATAAGCACCCACTAAGTGCCATGCAGTATGTTAAGCATTTTACAAATTTTATTTGATCGTCACACCAGCCCTATGAGGTAGGTGCTATTATTGCCACTTTACAATCAAGGAAACTGAGGCACAGAAAGGTTAAGCAACTTGCACTGGGTCATACAGTGAGGAAGTGTGGGAGGTTGGATTTGAACACAAGTCTTCCTAATGTCAGACTTGGTGTTCTATCCATTACACCACCTAGCTGCCCTTGTACTAGTTGGTCAATAAACATTTGTTAAGCACCTTAGCATTATGCTAAGGATTGGAGATACATATAAAAATAAAGACAGTCCCTGCCCTCAAGAAGTTTACAATCTAATGGGGGAGATAACATATGAAAGGAAGTTAAAAGGGGGAAGGGGAAGAGAAGGTATCAGTACTGGGGTATGAGGGAGAGTTCCAAAGAAGTCCAAAAAAAGTGTAGCTGGTGAGAAAAGTGGAGGAAAACCATCATGAATTCCTCCTTAAATAGAGGCCCTGGAGTCCATGGCCCCACCCTCCTCTGGCCAGAGGCTTTAAGCTGGAGGGCAGATGTTACTTATGAGAAGGGCCAGGCAGACTCAGTATCTTGTAGGATAATAAGATTTCCCATTGATGCGTTTTCCGAGGAAGCGAGGCATGATGAAAAGTTCCCAAGTCCAAAAGCAGTATAGCTGGTGGGAAAAGTGGAGGAAAACTGAGTGCAGCCCCCTCCTCAAATAAAGGCTGTTATGAGGCCAGGGACCCCCAAGACACAAACCAAGAAGAAGAGAATAATTACCTAACATTTATACAGAGCTTGAAGTCAGGGTGGAAAAAAAAAGTGTTGAAATAAATGAGATTAATTTTTAAAATGGCTTTAAAATTATAAATGAAATGAGATCTCTATAGGAAAGAATTGGAAAAAGAAATCAAAGTTCTACAGAACTTAGAAGAATTCACAGCTTAGTAAAAAGAGGTTGCAAAACCTTACTCAAGTAACAGAATCTCTCAAAATTAGAATGAACCATAGAAGTTAATAACTATGATACAATGAATATTAAAATAAAGACTGAAGGCAGAACCAAGATGGCCGATTACAGACAGTAACGCAGCAGAATTCTTCCAACATTCCTCTCCAAACAACGTTAGCATAACTTCTCAAATCAAATTTCTGAGTGGCAGAGCCGCTAAAAGGTCGGTGTGAGATATCCCAGCCTAAAACAACTTACGAGGTCTGGAGGAGAGGTCTGGGACACCAGTGGTGCCTGCCCAGAGGGCAATGCAGCAACACCCCTGGTGGGCTATGAAGGTGGCCATAGCAGCAGCAGCAGCTTTGGGAGCTTTCAGTCCAGAGATGGTAAGAGGGCTCGACAACTGGTCAAAAAGAGATATAGAGGACACTTTGCTGGCACTGCGTGCACCTGGTACTGATTATCAACTCTGCTGCCCATATGGGCAATTCCAGGATGGAAAGCAGCGCTTCTGCTTGGTCACAAGGGATCAGGGGACCTGATCACAGTTCCAGGGCCAACAGGAGCCCTAGTGCTTGAGGCTGCAGGGGAGCAGGAGCCCTTCCTGTGTAAAAA